GCAGCTGAGTGGGCAAAGTTATACCAAGTGATCGCTCTGAAATCTGTCCTTCGAGATACAAATAAGAAAACGGAAAGAAAGAAAAAAGACAATGTACCTTCGACTGCCATGCTTGAGGCAAGCAAGACCTAATTTTAATCCTTCCCTCGTCTGCATGATCCGAATGAGAAATGGTTCTGAAGATCTCTTCTTCTTAGCTTTTGATTTTGTTGGTACTTCAGCGACACCTGATAGTTCATCTCCATCTACGACAGATGACCCTTGAGTAAGATGGGGGATTAACTGACGAATCACGTCCAAGGCTGATGTCTACAGAACTAGGGATGCAAGGCGGCGCCCGATCCACCCCGCTTCGTAGTCAAAGTAAATCAACTTAGTTATAATCTTTCCGGTTCAGCTTTAGTTCAGTTTGAACTAAATTCCTGTTTTGGCGGGCTTATGCGGGATGCCCGCTTGCATCCTTATACAGAACACATGCATATACTAGATAGTGCGATAAGCTGAAGAAACATTTCACCAAAAAAGGAGAGCTTTGTTGTAAAGATAGGCCAATCGCGTCAATAAAATACATTTACCTTATCCGCAATTGTTAAGTACTCCAATATGACTACGTGTACTATGGCATACTCAACAATGCCTTTTTCCAAAACTGGCTGGATAACAGTAGCCATGTACTGCAGGACAGATGATTTGTGCAGTCCAAGCTTGGAAATTGTTTCTAACAAACTGAAAAAGGAAGGTGAATTTTAGTATATATTGAACTAAACAAATAACTGCAGCCACCTATGGCAGGATAAGTGGATGACTACAATAATATTTCCCTCCGCCAAAGTTTAAGTTTTCAACAGACAAGTAAAAGAAGTTAAGGGGAAACTTCAAAGCAGATGTATGACAAGACATTATAGCGTGCCAACCTGCATGATTTTTGTTCAGTCAGGTCCTTGAACAGCTGAAGCTCGGTGGAGTACAATTCCAACAACAAGCTTCTTTTCTGAGGCGGTGTCGCCTGATGAAAGGCGCAATCAAGAACTGCAAGAAAGAGTGTATCTCAATGTGAGATTACCATGTAACCCTTTACTTGTATAGCAAATAGAAACGCATGCATACAATGGCATTCAACCATTAACTCCTGCTGCTCCTATACACGACGAGTTCCTACCCCTTATGACAGCAACACATAGCAGCACATACCTGCAGCTCCTACTGTGTGACGAAGTAGAGAAGCGACATGACCATGAAGGGAAGAGATGAACAAAGCAAGCTGTTTTTTAGTGGCTGCAGTCACAAACAAGAGGTATATTAGTGAAGCTACGGGTTATCAAACAAACGAGCAACATTCTCACATATGAACCCATACAAGTTTCTGGCGAATCGTAGAGAAATTTACCGAGTTTTTATGAGCTTCTTCACAAGGAAAACAGCATATTTCTTGTGAGAAAGATGGAGCAGATGTGGCTGCAGGGCAACAAAAACAGCATCCCTCTCTGGCTGTGAGCACCACTTGACACATGTCTGAAAAAGGAATGGCGGCTATCAGAATAAGCACCAAAACACCATAAGCAACGCGGTCATAAAGAATGGATGCTGTCCACTTACTTGAAGAACACGTGCGGTTACATGGGATCCAGCAATTTCGAAATATTTGCCATCCATTTTACGGAGAGCCTTGGTTACTAGCCTGCCGCAGAGATGACAAACTCATCGGCATAAGAAGTTGAACACAAGTTGCAACTCACAAGACTTTAATAGTGACACTTACTTCGATCTATTCTCCTTGCTCACATCACATCTCATCTTTTCCCATAGTACTGCCAGTTCCTGTCAATATTGGGCGCGGGAGCACACCAAATTAGAGTCGACACAAAGTATGTTACTGAATCATCATAAACAGAGTTGACGGTTCAAGAAGGCACTGGTACTGTCCATTACTGGGATGAAAGCCAGTTTTTGCTTCGCTGTCAAAATTAAGTAACGGTACGACGGTACCACCAGAATTCAAGTCCGGAACTAAAAATCCAGAAGATTGATTTAATCATGTAAATAGTCAGAGGTCTGTTGTTTTGGTTTAGGCTACAAGCATCATACGTCGATTTACTAACTGGTACTATATACGCAGCAAGTGCATTCTGAAGGTTGAGCATGCAAGGGTTGCTACTGAAAAGGTACATGATGAAACCCACACCCAGGAGCCGAGTTGCGCATCCATAATCGGAGCAGGCGTGGCAGGGAAAGCAAGCAAAAAATTACCTTCTCAAGGTTGTAATTGGGCTTCCTCTTCATCTTCCTCGACTCGGACATTTCCTGCCACAACAGCCAACAGCATTCCGGTTTCAGCTCAAGCTCAAGCAGCCCATGAACTAACTAAAGTACTAAACCAACACCCGGGCCCCAAACTAGCTCACAACAGGAAAGGAGCACCAATGGGATACCTTGGCGGCGACCCGCTTGTCCTTGGCGGTGACGGGCTGCGGCTCGGCCTTGGCGGCGGGGGCGCCGTAGGTCTTGCTCCGCTTGGTGGCCCCCTTGGACGGCGCCTTGGACCTCCCCGCCGCCTCGCGCTTCCGCTTGTTGGCGTCCGGGTGGTCGCCGCCGGCGGCCATGGCTACGTTAGGTTTACAAATCAGTCTAGCACAATATGGCATTGGCATCATACTCTATCACAAATTCACGAAGATAAACAAATGCATTTATGAACAGATCATGGCATACACATTTCACAATATAGCATTTACGAACATATCAGGAATTCAGAATATAGCATCACAACATGTCATCAACACTTGCCGGCAGCTATTTCATACACTTGACACGGATCACGGGCAGCACTAGCACGAGCTTACCGAGCTGGATGGTGGAGAAGAGGCCCTGGTGTTGTTCCGGCGTCGATGGAGACGACGAGATGCGGCCGAGATCACTGGAGACCGACGGAGCTGAGGCGTCCAGAACAAAAGTACGGGGCGGTGAAGGTCGATCCAGTCCCTATAAAGGGCCCCGCCGCCGTCCAGGGTGAGCCACCGCCGACCAGTGTGGGCGCCGTCGATGGCGGCTAGGTTAGCGATGTGGCGATGGGGCTCTGGGCCTCGGGGGAGGCTGGTAGACCGTGGTGGGCTGCTGGATGTCGGCCTACCTCCTCTAATCCTCTCCATTTTCACGTATAGGTGGGCCGGGCCGGGCTAATTTCGGGCTGGAATTCAAAGCCCGAGCCCTGCCCGAAACTGTTTTCTTTCTTTGTAATCCAGGCCCAGGTTTCTCGGGCCGGGTCGCCGGGCTGGGCTGTCCATGCCCGGGTTTCTCAACCACACACGTGCCCCGCCTGCTGCTGCACGAGAGCAGTGGAGTGGAAAACCCGAGGCCAACTTCAACGCAGACCCTGTCTGGTCCGCGAGCGTCCGTTTTGGGCCAAACGGACACAACCCATGGTCCAACACGCAGCCGCATCCGCAGATGTTGTACGTTTCGCGGCCGGCGCGCCCTATTTGCAGCACGAACGGCGAACGAACACGCGCTCGCTCGCTTCCAGTCCGCCCGCGTGACGTGTGGCGGCCGTTCACCTACCTCCAACGCCCAAATTAAGTGCGCACGCGCGGCGGGTCCGTTCGTTTGCCACCCAACAGCCCCGGTTGTCGTCCTTCTTAATGTGGAAGCCATGGACCGGCCAGTCCGCGGCTTCCACTTTCGAGCCGGGTTGCCCCCTCGAGCCCCGACACGAGCTCGCAAACCCTAGCCGCCGACACATCCCTCTCACCTACCTCCCCGTCGGCGCCATGGGCTGGCATTGGATCAGTAAGGGGAAGCACGACCATGAGCCTGGCTCTTCCTCTGGTCGCGGCGGCTCCATCAACTCCGTGCCCCGCACCACATGTGTTTGTCATCGCGCCGCCACCGGCCCCGCGGCTTAAACGAGCATACATGAGCGTCGAAATCTACCATCGCTGAGCGATGCCCACCTCCCCAGCAATTGGCATATACTATTAAGCTGATCCTTCAATTAAGTGTGTGTGTGCATTATTTTTTTAGTGTTCTGTAACTATATATATAATTCCTTTTGTCTCATATATATACTTGCAGATAGGTTCTTTGACTATTAAGCTGATTGTTTATCTCTTCGGTTCGGCACACCCAACAGATATTTGCATATATCGGAATGAATCCACAGCTACATCAGAAACTGCTCAACTATGCAACTTCTTACTACTTCTATCCATTGAATATATTGTGCTTTTACCCCCGGTGTATGCGTGTACGATAATTTTTGGTGCGAAACTTGCAAATTGATTTACCTTTTGTGTTGCAAATTTTGGAAGAAATTATTTGATCCATAATGTGGTAACCGTATTTTGCGAGTCCCCAATCTGCTACGCTTAAAATTTGAGTTATATCATTTAATTGCTAAGAGTTTTAATTCATCATGGAACATGATTCTGTTAACTTTATTTGAGCAATTCCTTGCTATCATGCCTTTTTTCTCTAAATTCAATCATTGTCAGGGCACGGCCTGAACATGATTCTGTTAACTTTATTTGAGCAATTCCTTGCTATCATGCCTTTTTTCTCTAAATTCAATCATTGTCAGGGCACGGCCTGAACGCATGACCATCTGCACCAATTTTTGAAAAAAATGCACTTCTTAGATTTGTAAGGATTAATCCAATCCAGCCAATCGGCGCCAAAATATCATCCAGTGGGCGCAGCAAAATTATCATCGAGCGCCAACTTCACGGCACAAAAAGAAAAAAGGAACAAACTTCCAAGGAAGCATAACATGCGAACAAACTTTTGCTCTGATTTTTCATTTCATTCATAGCGAACGGAACAGGGACGGTAACAAGTAACACGGAACGGTAGCGGCGTCACATCTAACGGTAGCCAGAACATCTCGGAACCTACGCGATGGAGCGAGATATAGGGTACTCGGGAGCGAGCGAGCGATAACACGTTGGTAGACAGGTAAAAAAAGGGATCGGTAACTAGGATAACTGGCCAGCTAGGGGCCCCACCATTCACTCCCTCCAGTTGCCGCCGCCGGAGCCGCCGCGGCTGCCGCCGTAGCCGCCGCCGCCGCCGCCTCCGTAGCCGCCGCCGTCACGGCTGCCGTAGCCGCCGCCGCCGCCGCTGCGGCCACCTCCGTAGCCGCCGCCGCCGCCGCCGTAGCCGCCGCCGCCTCCGCCCTCACGGCGCTGGCCCCCGTAGCCGCCACCGCCGCCGCCGAAGCCGCCGCCGCCTCCTCCGCCGGAGCGGCGGGACTGCGCCTCGTTGACGGTGATGTTGCGGCCGTCCAGGTCCTGGCCGTTCATGGCCTCGATCGCCTGGCGCATCGCCTCGTCCGACGCGAAGGTGACGAACCCGAACCCGCGGGATCGGCCCGTCTCCCTGTCAGTGATGATCTGCACCAGCAAAACCGTCAGATCTAGGGTTCCACAAGCGCAACACCACAGATCCATCTCGAATCTACAGATCTATCGGGCGGATCGGGGAGGGGACGGTACCTTGGAGTCGATGACGTCGCCGTACTTGGAGAAGGCGTTCTGGAGGGACTGGTCGTCGGTGGCCCAGGCGAGGCCGCCGACGAAGCAGCGGTACTCGACGTCCGCCATTCCTTCCTCTTCCCCGCTACTACTAAACCCTAACGAACGGAACGGGACCGGACCGGGAACCGAGGACTGAGTGGGGAGGAGAAGCCAACCCCTGAGAAAGCACGAGGAGTCAAGGTTGCCCTACCCGCCCCTCTTATAGCGGGCGCGGCGCGGCGCCGGCCGTCGAGATCCGATCGGACGGCGCGCGGGCGAGCCGCGGGATAAGGATCGGGCGAGATATTTTCTGCGCGCGATGGGCTCGAGGAGTGCTCTGGCTTTCTGGGCCAGCCCACGCACGATTGGGTCGCCCCTGACTCGCTCGCGCGCGCACGGGGAGATATTTTCGGACGGGGAGCGTCTAGGGTTTTCGATTCTCGCGCCGCCACCAACCCCGCCCCGATCGATCGGGTCGTGACGCGGCGGGCCTGGCTGTGGACCAATCACGCGGCACGTCGGCAGATATTTTCGGGGTAGTGCACACTTGGAGTGAAATGCGGTTTTCTTTCCTGATATGTAACATAACATGATTTTTTGAATAAGGCCAGGATTAATAATAAGTAAAGTGGTGGAATGAGCAACTTACTTCGGGTCCGATAACTTTTTTTTTAGTTGATTCAGAACCGATAACTGGACCTACTCCCCGTCTCATGATGTAAGATGTTTTTTTGACACTAGTATAGTGTCGAAAGAACGTCTTACGTTACAAGAAGGGCGGAGTAAATTGCAAACTGGAGCCTCACTTTTGCAGAGATGCTCCAACAATCAGATGGAGACACATGATCGGGTCCTTCGCATCTTTCGTCCGGACGCAAACTCGTCGTCGTCGGGGATGGCACTACTTGAGACGGTGAAGCCTCTATGACACCTCGTCGTAGAGTCCATGGAGAGGATGCATTGTCTTCCTTTTGGTTCTTGTGCCCGGGGCAAAGAAGAAAGGTTGCCCTTCGGTCAACGGATTCAACAAACATGATGGAGATGGCCGGTAGCCAAGCTTGTTGTTCGCGCCTTGGGCACTCCCAAACAGTCACCGGAGATGTGCACAAAGCCTGATTGGGAACTTCTACTCCCCCCCCTTCCCTCTGGCGGCCATATAAAACAGGGAACGAGGCATGCTTCTTAGAGAGTTGCAACAGACGAACCGGTCATGCGGGGATCTCTTGTCTTTTCCCATCCCGTCAATGTGACTGTATGGAGGAAAGGGGTGAGAAATAGCCACAACCCCGGTCCTACACTCCTTTTTACTTTGCTCCCTTGTTTTTCTATTTTGTTTGGTTACTTTTTGTTGCTTATTATTTTGCTTCTCTGCTTTTTTCAATAACATAAAAAACCAAAAAAATGTGGCAATTAGTGATTTTTGTTTTAACTCGTTATCATGGCTAGCTCTTCAATTTCGGCTACTTCTCATGAGTTAAAAGTCCTTCACTTTAAACAAAGGGGTGGTGAAAGTGTAAAAGATGATTGGTATACAATCCATAAACAATCTACTATGGTGCGCATTGGGAGTTTTAACATTGCTGTAACTTTATGGAATAGATACCTGGTAGACATTATAATGGGAGGTTGCTTTTTGAGTAGCAATACTTTTAGTGCCTTTAATGCTATAGAAAGTGTAATAGGATCACCACCAATTAGTCCTGGCCATGGAAAGCCCGGCCCAGCCGGCCTGGCCCGACGCTGCCCCCGGGCCGGGCTCGGGCCTAGTTTTTGAGCCCGAAGGCCGGGCCGGGCCAGGGTCGGGGCCGTCGTTTTTGCCATTTTCTGAAGGTCGGGCCGGGCCTAGAAACACAAGCCCGATGGCCGGGCCGGGCCCGGGCCTGAGTTTTTTGTGTCGGGCTTGGCTAGGCCCGGCCCGGCCCGAGGTTTGGCCAGGTATACCACCAATAAACATCGATGAATCTGAAGCTACTCTCGAACACCTTGTGAGGAGATTGGGTATCATAGAGAATACTATGTCAATTAAGCAAGAACTAGAGGAGATTGATAAAAGTTACATAATTGTGTTACTCCCTCCGATCCAATATTAATTATCACTTATTTAGTACTCCCTCTGTAAACTAATATAAGAGTGTTTAGATCACTAAAGTAGTGTTCTAAATGCTCTTATATTAGTTTAGAAAGGGAGTGCGACTTTGTATTAAATCAACGACAATTAATATGGATCGGAAGGACTACTAAACTTGGATCCCCGGTAGGTAAGGCTCTTAAGAAAATGAAAAAAATTAGAACAAGAGTTTCAAGCTACAAAAATAGATCATCAACCCTCAAGAATAGTTAAGTTTAGAAGAAGTGATAGACACTTTGGAGACAACTATTGCTTCAATAAAAGTTAATAGGAGTTACACTAGAGATAAAAGTCTGTTGTTTATGTATGTTCCTAAGGTACAACAATCTAATTTATCATCTTCTAAGGAGAAGTTGAACTAAAAAGGATTAGTAGGCATCCCATTATTAGTCAACTAAAAAGGGAAGCTCCTATTTATAACACTAAAAATCTTGAGTTCATACCTTGAAGTGTTATGATTAGGATGGCCTTATAAGAGAAAAGGGTAACTTTCTCACCGGGGGACTTTCAAACAGTGATGATGAGAAAACGAGAAGCAATCCTTCATGCCTAGCTAAAATTCATTAAAGAAGATCGTTTGTTGGGAGACACCCAAATGTTTATCTTCTTGGTTTTTATATGTTTACATGATTAATGCTATTGTAGTGATCATGTTTTGTATATTTGATTTCATTAAAGTGCCAGGTTTAGCCTTTACCATGCTCAGTTTGCAAGTTTATGACTTGTTGTTTAAAAACAAAACAAAAATCAGTCATGTCTTGAATATCCCTGGATATTCAAACTTGATAAAAGGCTGAAAATTTGCGATAAATGGCGAGTGGACATGCAACCACGCGAGGTTGTTATCTAGCCTGCCCATTCCCGCGTGATTCGTGCAGTTCAAATACATTAAGCGTGTATAATGATTTTCTTGCACCGTATACAACTTGTATGGCTTGTGTATTTACCTCTGACCTCTGACATTGCCAGTAGCAGGCCCATAATGCAGCGTCACGCATTGAAGGCGATGCACATTAAGTATATGTCAATCCTCTATCTGCACCACGCTCCCTCAGCCTTTTTAAATGCATGGCTTGCTTGTTTCTGCTTCTCAACTATTTTTCTCCGTGATCACTCCATACCTCACAGTCTCGCCGGAGTTCACAAGCATGTGTTCATCCATGTCCTGGCACAGCTCCACACCACCTCCATCACACGCCATCGCCAAACACAATCCCCTCTTGTTCAGTGTTCCTCTCATGCTCATCTCTCTCTCTCTCTCTCTCTCTCTCTCTCTCTCTCTCTCTCTAACAGACACGGCCATGGGGTTGTGTTTTTGTAGCAAAATTCCTAATCTAGGGTTGGCCTGCATGAGAGCTTCTGTTCTGTTTACCAGAACAGACACGGCCATGGGATTGATTTTGTTCTAATGCTGTTAGCAGAAATTCAGGACCAACTTCTTCTTGCATAACATAAAGGATGCCATTTTCATCTTGCCCCAAGCGTGGAATACAGGGTTGTACATGCATAGCAAGCAAGAACCAAGTAGCAAGAACTGGAGCAACAACCTTCACCATCCGACGAACTGGATCCCATGCACTATGTTGATGAAGGATCCATAGTGCGGGCTGGGTGAGTAACTTTTAATTACTAGGAGCAGGCACCATTTACTACGAGCCAGGTCATGAACGTTAATTACACTAATGGGTATCCTGCAACCCTGCAGGCTGACCATAAACACAACAACCTCTCTCTACCAAATTCAGTAATGGTTGGACAATGTCTACTGTATTAATGTTGTGTATTCACTCACTTTCCTTAGTATTGCCATAGTATCCAGTTAAGCACTATATTAAGTGTGAATCGCATGGCAGCAATCATCGGTCAGGATAACATCCTCGCGTGGCACCATGTCCCAAAAATTCGCGTCGACACTATAAGCCCTTATAAGTTCTCTGTTACGTGGTAATTTTTTAGAACTTATAGAGTTACAGAAGTATGTTAATAAATTCCACCTCTATAGACTGTCTTGTTTAGACAGGTTGTTGTTATAGTTGCATTGTTTGCTACTTTAGTGTTCTGTTTGGTGACAAAGATGGTAGACATATGTAGACATTTGGTATTTAATGTTATTATAATTTTTTAATTTGCTATAGTAAGGAATCTTAAAGTTTTGAATTTGTTTATACTAATGTATCTCGCAAGCTCTTGCGAAGTTTTGTGTGAATGGAGCTTTTAGAACTGAGGGGAGACTATCATATGGGAAGAATAAAGGAAATACAAGAACTAAAGATTGGGGATGCCAAAGGCACCCAAGGCAATATTTTAAGAAGTCCCGGGCATCTAAGTTTGAGGATGCCTCATTAGACATACCACCTTTCTTCATCAACAACTATCCATTAGTCTCGGTTGGACCTACGTTTTTATTTGTTCACATGATATGTGTTATGCTTGGACCATATTTTGCTTTCATTTTCTTTCCTTTTTCTTTCGTGATCATAATCAATCATCATATCTTGATAAATGTGCTTAGGGAGATATCCATAGTCCATTTATATAAGTGCTCTATTGCTTCACTTGTAATTGTTTGGAGAGTTGAATAGTAATTGGTGGTTGGCTTTGATTAATATGTTGGTGATTAAAATGATAAGTATGCTTGGTGGTATAATTAAAATTGCATGAATTAATCTGGAATAATTAATTTGAAGATAGGATTCCCTGCATTGTTTTGAGATAGAATAGGGGTAAAAGATGAATATGTTTGTAAAAGATCTTGAATGAAGTAGTGGTGAGAGGTCATAAACATCATGCAAGTCAATGTTATTTCTTTCATTAATTTACATAAAAGTGAGACTACTCTTGCAAAGAGGCCTAAGCTGAAAGACAATGTAAGTAACCACTCGCGTAGGATGGGTCGGGGCTTCGACTTTGCTAGACACTTCCCTATGAGTATCTTGGTTTCATGATAATCCATGTGTAG